TTTTACCCATGGCCAACTTCATAATCTCAGCAGAGAACCTATGAAAGTATTTTATTGCATTTGCCATTTCGCAAGTTCTTCAGATATTTTGTGATGTTATAGGAATATGTGATCGAGGTTGAAGCACTGATCGGTAATGCACGAAAGTGGAGCGTTGAACGACGATACACGCAGTTTCGGTCAGTGGATCTGACTCGTCAGTTTCGTCTTCGTTTCCCGGTGGCACACTGTTAAAACTGCAAATAAATGCAACCGAATTGAACTTTCATTTGAATGTCATTCAATGTCAATGATCTGATGTTTATCGAGTTCTGATTACTCGCTGGTTGAAAGGTTGAAATTTTGCAGTGAAATGAACAAAAATTTGGAGAAATTTGGCGTTGAATTGGGTTTTCCACCAAAGAAAGCGATTGGAAATACGAAAGAGCAATTCATCGTTCAACGCAAAGAAGCATTACAAGTTTGTGCTCGTTCAAATATGTCCCTTCAATCCATCAACTTGTGCGATTTCTGATCGAAATGCTCACTGTACTCCTCTTTTTCGTTCAGTGCGGTAGTTTAGCGACGTTTTTATCACTTTTTTTGCTGATAGTATTACGCGAATGTCCACTGCAACCGAGCGTTTGATATGTCAGATAGTCGCTAAAAAAATTTCCCTTTTTAAATATTTATAACTTTTCTAGTTTTGCCTCTTTCGAATTTCTAGTTTTAAACCTAAACTTTCGCCCATTTGGAAAACATTTCAGAAATTTCTCGACAAAATATGTTCACATTCATTGTTCTATTCAAGTCCTGCAGTTGTTTCCTTTCTTGATGTGTTACCGGACAGTTTTACAGGTACAAACTCACTTGATTGCGTTCATTTTTCATTTGTTTATTGAAGATATGAAGCAGCAAAATGTGATTCTTTTCGAAGTCACTGACTCATATTTTAGCTGTATGAATTGCTTTACTGATTTCAAATAAACTGAAGAGTGAACATACGAATAATTTGCAGTATTGGATGAATGGATATTGTTGAGTGTACGCGATAAACCTGAGTGGAGATTAGGAGAAAGACACGTGAATTGTGGATGGCGCGCTGCGAAAACGATTCACGAATTGAAATGCGGTCAGAGTGCGTTGGTACTGTCAGCCGTTCGATACGGACCGGATCGTTGCGGTGATATCGAAACTCTGAACGAAACCCTCAACTTTATGAGATCTCTTGACTATGCGTACATTGGTGAGTGTATATCAAGTTGGGCTGACGACAAGGGCGTTCTCTCTGTATATCGTGCTTTCGATGGCGGTTCACTTCGAGATCACCTCTATAAGGTAGCGGCGATTCATTCGAGAGATCATTTGCTGAATTGTTCTCAATGTATTATTCATTTATTTGAACGAATAACTGAAGAGATTTGTTACAGTTGAAATTTCATTTGAGAACGTTGCAATTGTCAATTTTTACTTACTTTTTTCCAGTCAGAAAAAAATTTTTTCTGCATGATTAATTGAATATTCGTTTGAGGTGGATTGTTTGGTGGAATGTCACGGTTTAAAACTCACAAATCGTTTAGTTTGGAAGATGAAAAAGTATATGATGAATTTCTTATGCGCGTGATAAAAGAGGAAATTAAAAAAAATGAGTAGTTAGTATTTGTAATCAACTGATATTGGTGGTATGCAATGCGATTCGATTTAGAGTAATTGGCGAGATGAATTCTTCGTGAAATATTGCGTTGATCGTACAGTTTATTCGTTGGAGATTGTCGATATTCGTTTCATTTGTCGTCAAATACTGGAAGCATTGTCACTCTTTTGTGCGCTCTCAATTCCATTTAGTAAGCTCAATTCATTTCTTGTCGAATTTTATGCAGTTGCAATAGAAAAAGAGAAATTTTTGAAGTTTATTGAGGCAGCAAAAGAAAATTATTTGCTTTTATTGCCTATCATTAGGATGGCGAAAAGATGGAAAGATGAAGATATGAATCTTTTGGATATAAAAGCTAAATTTTGAGTTGTTGATTTCAGTTGATATACACAGTGGTAATATATCGATATCAGATTGTGGATGTGAACTGATCGATGCTGAACAAGGTTTTTTTTTATTTAATTGGTGAAGTTGATCATGATCTGTTCTTGTCATTTCAAAAATATACTCATGTCTTCTGATTCGAATAGTTGATCATTACCCATTTTGGGTTATTTAAAGCATTCATCGTTTAAATAACCCAAAATTTGTTCATCGTGCAATGTGCCATTGATTTTGTAGTTTTGGCTGGACAACCAACTTTTCACAGACCCTACATGCTGAAAGCGTCATGGGTTAATGTAAGTTATTTTGATGCTCATGAATGTTTTGTATATTTAAATATATTTAATAATATATTTAAATTGTTATTCTCCTTTGCCTATTTTAAAATCTTTTCCTCCTCCCCAACAATAGTTGGGGTAGTATATTCGCCAGATAGTATAAACTGTATTATACTACTTTATACATATTGACATGCGAATAAAATATTAATTAATAATAACAATGCTTTTTGACAACTTTCTTAGCAGTGTTTGTTTCGTTTAGAAATACTTTTTAGTGAAATCTCACAGAGAGCTTAGTGAGGGCATTTATGAAGAGGTAGTGCTTTCATTAAAAATGTAAATGATTGCAGACAATCGAGGACATGATGGTGTTTGCATTCGGTGAATTCCTTTTCGAACTTCTCACGGGTTTCTTCTCATTTCCGATGAATTCAGTCAGTGAGGGACTGTCGTTGGTACCAACTGTCTTTCGTAAGTTTCTTTTCATTTTTTTTTCACTGAGTTGTAGAAAATATTGGGACTTTTTTTTGACACTTGAATAAATTTTATATTCGATCGTGGTAGTTGTTGATTTTATATTGTGAATAAAATGAACATTAAATGAAAAGTTATTGATGAATTTCAGAACCAATACTTAAATCAATATTCGCGCCCGAAACACGTTCTTTGCCCACTCTTGTCGAGCTCATCAGCAATGAGTTAGTTGGTTATATTTGTGAAGAAAGAAGAATATTTGATTGTTGTTGATTTCAGTTCTTTCGGCTTGATGATTTCTGTTCCATCTGATATAAAAGATCATCGTTGTTGTCGATTCTCATTACAAAATGAAGAGTTTCGGTGCAAATTTTTTGGAATCATTCTTTTTGTTTTCGGAAAGAGATGAGCAATAGAGGATAGTTTGAGTGTTGTTCAGTATTTTTGTGGATACACCAGTTGCGAAGATGAATCGACGAGAAATTCGAATGCCCGCAAATGTGAAGCAATTATTGGATGGTTTATGTGATAATATCTGTAAACGTTTGCAGTCCGATCGTGCCCAGGTTCGTTTTATGAACACTTATTTATGCGTTTCGTGAATTGTTTAGCTGAGTTTAAAATGATGATGTGAAAATGAGGCAGCAAAGTGGACGAAAACTGAAGAGGATAGTACAAAAAGCATTAAAATGCCAAAAAATGCCTGGTATGAGAAGTGGACGATAGCTGTTATGAAGGTGTTTAGTTTTTAACTGATAGTGAGTACATTGATGGTTTGACCGCTGGATGTGTGTCATTTTGTCATTGTCGAGATAATGAACCTTTTGTTCTTCTCCAAATTTCAAAGGAAGTTGTTTCCCGACAGCACTTGCGGAAATGTTATCATGTTAATGTAAGTTTCATTTTTAGCAAAATAAAATTCAAAGAGAAGAGAAAATGCGTAAACTCTTACTATCTGAAGGTGAGAAATTGCGTAGAAAGCAAATAGTGAAATCTGTGAGTTTTATTTTCAGCATAACTTCAAATTTGATCACTGAAATGAAATTTCAGTTCACTTGGCAAATAATTAGCATTATTACAATTATAATGAAATGCACCTCTTTTATTTGGATAATCTCCATATATTATACGACTAATTTTTCATCTCTTACTAATCATCAACAGCGGAATTATCTTTGTATCCATTCTACGAGGATATTCCAATTATTGATATTGTCGTTCGTAAAATTGCTTTCATCTTTTAGATATTTATTTTTCTTCTCTAAACAAGGAAATTAGTGTAAACAATTGAATATTATGATAAGTTTACATTTTCGCATCTTTCAGGAGCAAATGAAACTGATCAAATCAGCAAATGTTGGCGGTGATATGAACCAACAATAAAATACAATACTTAATTTCTTGTTCATTTCTCTTCAAGTTGAATGCATGCATAATTGATTCGGTATTCGGTAACTGCTGATATGAATCAATCTTCTGAATGAATGAATCATGTCGGGAAATTTTGAAATGTTTTTTCAACATTTCATTGCCAAACGTTCTGAGAAGTCAACCAAAGAGCATCTATAGGAGTATTTATACTTGTAAAATAGTGTGTACAACTTCCCAACATGGTTCTATTCATTATAAACTTTCGTAATATTGCTAGACCATTCGGTTTCGAGCAGTGGGACTTGAGTGGGACTTGAATCCACATTTTCGACATACCCTTCTCCGCTCGGGTACTCTATTTCTGAGGTATCACAGAAGTTGTTCAGCCGACACGGAATGGATTTATCCAGAAGCTTTAGTGCTTGATCGAGGCCAGTAACCACGAAAAATCAAGAAATTTCGTATGCGAAGATAATGCTTGTCTGGAGATCTGAAGCGGTTATTCGTGAAGTGAATAGCGATTAGTGGGTAGCGATTACTTCACTCATAGGAAATCGCTTTCAGTATGAGAGTCGCTTCCATAACCAGCACTGATTCGTATTGTTGTTGTGCATTTAATATCTAAAAGATTCCCGAATGATCACTCATTTTGCAGTCGGAATTTTGGAAATTACAACTTTCCTTCAATTCCATAAAATTCATGTTTCGAAAAGTTAATAACCATCGAAGTTGTATTCGAGCAGTTCAGTGATAATATTTTTCTAAATAAGATTATAATTCATTTCGTATTTACTGAATACATTGAATAAAGAATTGTTTTCCAATGCTTATGCTGTGGTTTTTTTCTGATGAACGGTTCTTCAGTCCGATTCTATTTCTAAAATTGTTTTTTTTTTCATTTGGAGATTTCTTCAAAAATGCGATTCAATTGAAGATCATCGACAATTCGCTTTGATTAAAAATAAATCATTCGAAAATTCCGAAAACACCGGTATTTTGTGAGCGTATTTTTTAACATACTAATTAGCACAACTTCAATCCATTGAACTTCTTCGTTTTTTTATGATGTAATTGTTTTCAAATGATTTATTTGCATTGTATTTATTTCCAAACGACTTCTTGCTCTTTATTGCAATGTTTATGTGATTGAAGCTTCGAGGATGATTGCAATCTTTTATTTATTTTTGGAATTCGTCGACTCAGAGTGATCCTTTCTCATTTAACTTTCCTGACTTTGTCTCCCTCTCGTCCTTTTTTAAAATGGAATATTTTCTTGACGGTGTTAAATTCTATCGTAAATTTCACTGAGAATAATCGCATTTATCACAGTCCTATGCAAAAATTGTTTTCGTGTTGATATGTCCGATGTGATGTTTGTATACTTTATTCGATTCAGTTTATATTTATTCATTTCCAGAAAATTACAACTTTTTCTCAGCAACATTCAAAATGTCGATCCTCGCCAAAATTGCTGAGATCGAGGCCGAGGTAAGTGGAGAGATCAAACATGAGTTGTTCTTTTATTTATTGTTCGTTGATAAAGTTTGTCGTTAGCGCCGTGAACAACATCAATCAAATCATGTCGGTGTAAAATATCAGATCTGCTCAGTAAGAGTATTAATGGTAATATAACGGTTATAATAAGAACGATACTGATGATGGCAGTGATAATGATAACTATAATAATAGCAAATGATTAAGATGGCCCGTACGCAAAAGAATAAGGCAACAATGGGCCATTTGGGAATGTTGAAAGCGAGAATCGCGAAATTACGACGCGAACTGATCACACCGAAAGGTGGTGGTGGTGGGGCAGGAGAAGGTTTTGATGTTGCAAAGACGGGTGATGCGCGAATTGGATTTGTGGGTGAGTTTGATTTAATTACTTCGGTTGTGATTCCTTGATTCGAATCATCCATTTAATATTGCACGAAATTGAAGAAATAATATCTCCTTAACAATTTTTCAACACATTCAAGTCAAGTTTGTTTTTAATCGTATTCTCTAACAAAATAATCATTCAGTCTTATTCTCATTATAATTTGTAATTTTTCCTTTGTTTATTCATTTAGTTTTTGGCCTTAGAATTCATAAATGAATTCACNGTCACAGTCAGTCCCTCTCCTAATATCCTTGAATGGAATGTTGATTTTTATGCAGGCTGGCGGTTTCGAAACATAAAGCACCATTTGCGATTATATACCAGCGATTGAAAAAAAAACATACATTCATGACGATGTTCTTGTGAAAAACGTTCTATTAAATGAGTTCGCTAGTAAATGTCATGTTAGCCGATACAAGGCGATTGATTAGTTCTTCTTGCGAAATGCATTTCAAGGATTGACATTTTGAAAGGATTTATTGGATTGTCTTCGTTTTTTTTGCATTTGTTCAGTATCACCTCGACTCTATGGTTTGACAGGATTTATTTGATTTGATTTTCCGTCATTTATTCCACCATATAAACACTCCCACCCACCATTCAGTTCTTCTGTCCATTCAAATTCTTTATTTTCCGTAATGTGTGATGCATTTATCTGTTCATACCGAATTTGCACAGTGTCATACGATCATTTATTATCAAACTAGTCATTCAGAAGAATCACAAAATTGTTATTGATCACAACCTAATCGATAACAAAACATCCAATTGTAGAAACATAAATAATGGCAATTGGCACTCTATAAACCAATGAAGACTTATGAAATTTCATTTCGAAGAAGTAATATAATTTCATACAAATATAAAATCCGACTCTATCAGTAAACATACACACGTGTTTATGTAAGTAGTAATACGTATTTATAAACATGTCACAAGGAGAATGAATCGTAAATCAGCGCTTAAAGAATGCAGTCATTCAAACGTAAGCAATTCCACCGTTATTCATTAATCAACGAGTAAATGAACGAACATTTTTAATGATCTCGATTCAGTCATTCATTCGCCAATAGTCGTTCATTTTGGCTAGATATTATGTGTTCATTCTGAAACGGTTCCAGTCGAATTCATTTGGAATTTGCATTCGTTAGTGCTTAAAATCTTATGATATCAAGCAAAAGGTGAACGTCTTTCAAATTATTACACATCTTTCTCAATAAGGAAGTCTGTTGTATTCTATTGCACTGTAATGTGCAGAAATGGCGTTAAATGATCATTGAGCGTAGTGATAAATGCAGAAAATGCTGGCAGATTATAGCAGTCGGAGGAACGAGATGATGAGCAACAAACGAGTGGAATTTGTTTCAAGAGAACGACATTTAATTCTCTTGAATTAGACAATGAAAGCACTCGAAGTTGATGTGTTTTGTGACGGTTGAGATTGCGGTTCAGATTCCGATTGAGATTCAGACAGTTTTGCAATTGAGAAGTGTGATTCATTAAGAAGTTTATATGCTAAAACTGATCCATCCTCTCCTTCCGCATCATCTTCAAATCGTTCCTCGAAATTCTCCTCGTTATGCATACGATTATCATTGGCACTCTCTGATTCAGCAGAACTGCCACCGAACGATGACGATCTTTTAGCGATATCCGATGGGTTGAATGCTCTTTCCACGTCTTTCTCGTCTCGATCTAATTCGTCGTCAGGTTCGGATAATTTATGATATCCTTCAGGTTGCATCTCCTCATCACTTTCGCTCGATGACCAATGCCCAAATTTATGCGCAGTTCTAGAGCGTTGCACTTGGTGTGTCTCAATAGCAGCTAGTTCACTGAGTAGTGCTGGAGCGGGTTTTATCATCGTGTCGAGCACATCATCGCGACTATAACTGCCACGCCTTGAGATCGGTCTTTCTGGTATATCCTCTAGATCATTTCGATTATCATAATCCATTTGGTTGATATGACTCAGAGCTGGCTCTGGCTGATCGTTTGCCAGTGTTGAATCAAATGAACCAGATGCAACTACCACTGTTATCGGATGATAGCGATTAATAGTTTCTTGATTATTCGCCTTTTGCGAATGCGATGTGGACGGTTGTTGTTGGTGGGTGAATTGTTGAAGTGGAGATGTTGTTGGATGATATTCGGATGGCATTTGGGATTGATCAGACTGTTGAATGCCATAAGATGGCTGTTGCTGATCTGGTTGCGTTCGTTCGGGGGACGACGTATTCGAGAACGTCAATTGTTCGTCGGGTAATTGCGAGGGATCACACTGAAACATCAAATGAAAATGTCTCTCGTCGATCAAATTCGTTCGTTTTCGTTTCGATTCATCGATATCGAACACTTCTTGTCTGCTTGACAATTCACTGGTTCTCAGTTGATCATTGTCATTCGTTTGCTTGACATTTGTCGCTCTCGCGGCCGCACAACTTCCATAGTCTGGCAAGTTGTTGCTGGTTGCAGCCAATGATGCTTCAATCTTTCTGGCACGTTTTCGTTCATGGTACTCTCTGAAAATTTAATGGTGTCATTACGGTTGTTATTTTGGCGAAAATGTAAATAATACAGGTGGATCGTATCTTCATTCGACTCGTTGATATAACGCGTCGCTTCGACCGGGGATGGTTCAAGTTGTTTTTGTGTGATGCTGTTGCACAGAAATTTTCATAGTATTGCAAATCATTAGTTCAGATATTTTAGATAAGTCTTCAGTATAATAATACATTAATTTTTAATCCGATTAAGCATTGAAATAATGGAATTTTGACTTTAATTTGAAAGGTTACTAGTGTGTGCCTGTGCAATTAAGCTAATATCTTTCCGTACGAGGTTGGGTAGGAACCGGTAGAAAGTGCACCAATACTACCGTGAAATTCCTAATCCCCAGAATAGAAGTGATGAATTGAGGTAATGCAATCGGTGATGATTGTGAGGAGACTGAAAGCTGCAGAGNCCCAGAATAGAAGTGATGAATTGAGGTAATGCAATCGGTGATGATTGTGAGGAGACTGAAAGCTGCAGAGGAAGGGGATTACTCTCAGTGGAATTTAGGATGGCATAAGAAATGAACGCGCAAGTGATCGATAAAAATTGGATTGCGTTAGTGGGAGTGATGGGAAGTGGCTGAAACGATACGATACTGATGAACGTAGAGGGTGTGATATGAAGTGTTTGTGTTACTTCTTGGCAAGATATAGCGTTATCCAAGTGAAGTGTCTGTGAAGAGCACATCGTCAAGATGTATTATCCAGTCCAATATCGCTCTACGCTAAACTAGAACCGTCAACAAGTGACGACTGTTGTCAGCATTAGAGTAAAATATTTCTGAACGTAAAAATCGATGGCATTTTTTGGCGATTGATGACAAATTTGAATTTGACAAATAATCTAATAAAATACAGAAATATTTTACCTAACATATTGTTTCCGTTCACTTAATGGTGAGCAAAAAGAAAAAAAAAGAGGAATTCATTTCGAGACAAAACGTAAATTTCGAGAAAATCGCATCGCGGAATTTTCCCCGTTTTCTGTATCTCATCCGATCTCGTTCCGAATTCTTTCTGAGATGCGTTTATTTTATTATCACTTCCAGTCAAATAGATTCGCATTGTTGTGCATTGAAACAAACCAATCAGCATTATTCATTCGGATGTCTATTCGATTGGTGAATGGTTGAAAGAGAGCATTCCGAGTTATTTATTGCGTTCGAGGTAATTACCGCAGTATGAAAGGAGATAGATAGATGGTTGATTTGCTTGCATATTGATGCACTGGCAACTAATTAATGAAATGAATGTTCGCAATCAGAATCATGAATAAATAAATGACTGATGTGCAGTCAATATGTATTGTAATATTTATGAACGAAAGTAAATTGAGTTTTTTTTACAATTGAATAAAATGATATGGGAAAATA